CAAAGTACGAATGGAACCCTTTGTTCTTACACTTAACATATATGTACAAGTTTTTTAATGGCATCAAAGACTGTAAAACCATTGGTACAATAGAATTCCATTTTAGAATTAGGAGGAAGGGTGATGCATGGCGTGAAGGTGGCCCATCGTGTATAGCAGAGCTACTCAACTGGCGGACCAGTCCGATCCTTCCAGGTATTCGATTCGGACCAAGCCCTATTCTTTATTTTGGATCATTAGCCCCACTTTTGAAGTTTCCCTTTATAAAATTACATTTATAGATTTAAATATATATTAAAAGAACTATAACACCATGATAAACAATCTTGATTAGCTAATAATCATTATTCAGCTGAGAAATGTGTTTTTAAGGATGCCGAAATATAATTTCTGGAAAGACCGGACCCAAATATTTTTGAAGTTTTGTATGCGGATCTTCGGTAAAAATAGTTGAGTAGCCTTGGTGTAGAGCATTAAAAATATGTTTGACATTGCACTTCTGATTACCCTGTGTGGCTTCGCAGGTACCCATTGGGATAAAAACGTACGAGAGGATTGCAGGACTCATCATCGCCATATTGGTGGTTCATTTAACCACTAGTCCAAGTCTCTGAAACAAATTACTGTCTCACTAATCACATATCCGACATAGACTTGGGTGCCATATCATTTGGTCGCTGTATAGAATTTCCTTTCCACCGCGATGAATATGAAATCTGATCATATTCTCTCCAAGAGAGCAAACAAACCTGAAAGTAAAATTCACAGCGCTTCAGAAGTATGTGTACCAATGTGGAGGTACGGTAACTACTTTTGATCGGTTACTTTACATCAAGTTGTGTAAAGGGACTGAAACCTATGGGCAGTGGATATATTCACTTGGCCAACACAGACAGTCTCCGAACTCGTAATAGAACTAAAATAAGGAAAATCAGAATCAAATTATGACCTAACCCTAATCTGGTACACATACTATGTTTCGATGGTTCACATACTTCGGGAGTACCAAATCTGCAAAATTATAATCTTCGATATTTCCTTATCTTTGGTGGTAATTGAACAACCTTTTTATGTGCAAGATTTGGCACATCATAGTAGTGTGTGCAATAGTTACAATTACTTGAAATCAATACCAATAAAATAATAGGCCATATAAAATGAAGTACCGTAGCTGGCGCCAATGTTCTCTTAGGATTTCGAGCTGCATTGTATTCATGCGTTATGAATACTGGTACTTCTCTGATAACCCTGCGTGGGTTTGCAGGTTCGACTCTCATTGGTGATGTTTATCTGTGAGAAGATTGCTGAACTCCTTGTCGTCTTGTATTCCTCCGAGATAAATATGTGAATCCTATGCTAAATGAGTTGATTTAAAATATTGGGGTCGGTGAACCCCTGGGCCTCTGGGTCTAAATGAAGTGGGCAGTTAAAGCGCTGGAATTATCTATGTTGGGATTACAGATTAATCTGTGATCCAAACCTCAAGTATAAGAAATTTAGATTCGCTCCCTCATCCTTGCTTTCAAGGTCAAATTGCGGTTGAGGTTTCATTAATAATGCCAAATAATTTCCTCGATAAGTAAAAGTACTCTCATTCGCACAGCGAAAGATTTAACACAGTGATAAGAGCAAAAAAATTAATGTATTTTTAACCATGTGATCGACTTTTTAAACATTAATTGCAAGAGAAGAGAATGTGCCTATTGCTTAGCCTTGTAGTAATAAAGACACCGGTCTAAACGGAAAAAGATTTAGCGCAGCAAAAAGTGCAAAAAACATGTAATATTCCCCGTGTGCCCCATTTTTTTTAAACATAAACCGTCTGATCTGGATTTTACGATTGATGTGAAAAAAATCTGAGTGTGTAAATGGCCTTCCGGGCCAAACTGTGGCCCCCGACCCGACTCCTGATCTATGAGGAGCTGGCCGTTTATGTAAAACACACAAATACAAAATATACATAAAAGTTGAGACTTGGTTTTTTCTTTATTATTTATAGTTTTCAGAAATTAAATTGTTCTTGGTTGTACTGTGTGAGATTCAAATGCTTGAAATGAATATTTTTTAAATTAATCTATTTTGAATTATTCCTATATTCAAGAATTTAAAATATTAAATATAATGAATTTCCATTTGTTTTGAACATCATATAAGGAAGGCTCTAAGTTTCAAGGTCATTTAAGTTTTTCAGGGTCGAATTGTGGTATTGAGGTTTCATTAATAATGCCAAATCATTTCCTTAATAAATGGAATTACCCTTTATCGAACAGCAAAAGATTCAACACAGTGATAAGAGCAAAAAAAATTGATGTATTTTTAACCATGTGAGCGACTTTGTAAACATTAATTGCAAGAGAAGAGAATGTGTCCATTGCTTAGCCTTGCAGTAATAAAGACACCGGTCTAAACGGAAAAAGATTTAATGCAGCGATAAGAGCGAAGAAAAATCATGTATTTTTATCCATGTGAATGACTTTTTAAACATAAACTGTCAGATTCGTATTTTAAGCTTGACGGTGAAAAGTCTGCGCATTGACAAGGGCCATAGTTACTAAATTTCGATTTGTTGTGGACCTCATATAAGGAAGGCTCTCAATTTCAAGGTCAACTAAGCTTTTCAGGGTTAAATTGTGGTATTGAGGTTTCATTGGTAATGCCAAATAATTTCCTCGATAAGTAAAAGTACTCTCCTTCGAACAGCAAAAGATTTAACACAGTTAGTGACTTTGTAAACATTAATTGCAAGAGAAGAGAATGTGCCTATTGCTTCTTGCAGTAATAAAGAAAGACACCGGTCTAACCGAAAAAAGATTTAATGCAGCGATAAGAGCGAAGAAAAATCATGTATTTTTATCCATGTGAATGACTTTTTAAACATAAACTGTCAGATTCGTATTTTAAGCTTGACGGTGAAAAGTCTGCGCATTGACAAGGGCCATAGTTACTAAATTTTGATTTGTTTTGAACCTCATATAAGGAAGGCTCTCAATTTCAAGGTCAACTAAGCTTTTCAGGGTTAAATTGTGGTATTGAGGTTTCATTGGTAATGCCAAATAATTTCCTCGATAAGTAAAAGTACTCTCTTTCGAACAGCAAAAGATTTAACACAGCGATAAGAGCAAAAAAAATTGATGTATTTTTAACCATGTGAGCGACTTGCAAGAGAAGAGAATGTGACTTTTTAAACATAAACTGTGGGCTTTGTACTTTAAGCTCGAAGGGGAAACGTCTGTGTGTTGACAAGGGCAATGAGTTAATGAATTACGATTTGTTGTGGACATATAAGGAAGGCTCTCAGTTTCAAGGTCAACTAAGTTTTTCAAGGTCGAATTGTGGTATTAAGGTTTCATTGATAATGCCAAATGATTTCCTTAATAAGTGAAAGCAACCTCTTTCGAGACCTTGCTTTGTGTTTTCTAAATGCCAGCCTTCCTGGCTGTGGTTTTATTACTGCTTCACATTGGAGCCGCAATACCCTGTTTAGGTATGTGTCCCGTTTACTTTCTCTTTGCTGCCCCCAGTGTAGAGATGTAGTATGTTTTTCGGTACTCCTGAAGTATGCGCACCAAGATGTTTCATAACCTGAACCCTTCCCTGGTACACAACCTGAGTTCAGGTTGTGCGCCATCTTGGTGCACATACTTCAGGAGGTCCTATTTTTTTTTCCCCTGAGTATGATCTTATTGATTAAAAGTCAGATGATATATACATATATTTGAATCAACTTCATACATCTAGCAGTGCAACACAAAAAATTTAGTTTTTTCATGCGAGAAATGCAAGAGAATGCGCTTAGCCTTGCAGTAATAAAAACATCGGGCAAAACAGTGAAATATTTAAGGCAGCGAGGAAAGATCAGAGAGGAAAAAATGTTTTTTACCCATATGAGAGAATTTTTAAATATAAATATCAGATTCAGATTTTATGTCTGAATGACATATACATATTTTTAAATCAACTTTAGACGTCTAGCCGTGGTGCATGCAAAATGGTTAAATTGTGGTATTGAGGTTGGTTCAATATTGCCAAATCATTTCCTTAATAAGTAAAAGTACCCTCTTTCGAGATCCGCAGTGTCTTATATTTTCTCTCTGCTGACAGCCAGTGAGTGTATTGTAGACTTGTAGTCAGATAGGATTTGCTGCCATGGGGCATTTCTTCAGTGGTCATATGTAACTTTAGTCACAGATGATTATTCTTTACTTCTGAATCATTGCGCTCAAGGTCGCAAGCAAGGTAACATGCACTCACTCAGAAACGATGAAGAATTATGATTATCCACTTAAATATCAAGAACTACCGAGACTTCAGAAAATCTAGAGCAGGGTGGTCCAAGGTTGTCGGCTCCGCGGGCCACAAAATTATTTTTGCATTGTTCGCAGGCCACAGAGGGCCAAGAATAGGTGAACAGTGCAATACAAAACAAACACTTTTATTGTGCAAGCACATAGTTATCAGGCATAGCCATTCTAGGCTAATAGAATCCGCATACGATTTTTAGTTTTCTATGATGCCTATATTGTTAGCATATATTCCCGACCAAAACGATAGAAAGCCAGGTAGTAATTCGGACTGCCAAGGACATCATTCAACTTCGCTAGTTGCCTCAGCTAGCCATAATACTAGTCAATTTAGTGACATTAGTGATGTAACAATTTTTCTGATTAATTTTATTTCGAAACAACACGAAATGCTATTTTTTGATTACTCTCCGAATGTGACGCGGGCCACATATGGCCCACGGGCCTGGGTTTGGACCACTCTGACATAGGACAAATAACTATCAGTAGAAATTGCGCGAGACTAGCTTCCAATCCTTCCTCAATAGCTATACTTTTGTGGATTCGTATGCGTATAATCCAAAGATGCTGTAGCAGGAATAAACATACCATAATATGCAATTCAAGAGTCGTGCTGCACACTAACAGAAATGTATTTTTAACATTTTAACATAGGACAAATGAGAAAAAGAATTAAAATACCTTATTTCCTATTTTCAGCAACAGCATGCAGGACCAGAACTAAAATGGGTGGACGGAGGAAAACTATTGTTTCGTTTATCAACACGGCTTGTTTCCAGTGTCTACACAACTGACCCTCACATTCATAATTTCTTCGACAGTTGTCAGAGATCTCTCACTGGGAATGCAACAGATCATGATGTTGTGAAATACTTGAAGGTATGGTTTACTACAGGGCTTCATACAAAACTTCAAAAATATTTGGGTCCGGACTTTCCAGAATTTATATTTCTGCATCCCTAAACACGCAATGCCTCAGTCGACTAATGATTATTAGCTAATCAAGATTGTTTGTTATGGCGTTATAGTTCTTATTATCTATATTTTTAAATTTTTAAAAGTGATTTTAAAAAAGAAAACTTCAAAAGTGGGGCTAACAATCCAAAATAAAGAATTATGCGCGGTCCGAACCGAATACCCGAAAGGTCGGGATTCGGACCACGGTCTGCCAGTTGAGTAGTCCTTGTTTACTATATTAGTTTTTCTTTGATAATGTTTATTTACTTTTTTTAAAACGTTTTATGTTCTAAACATAGTATAGGATCTACTATTGTTTGGTTGAACCAGAATTCTTTCAGTTCAGCATATCCTACGCAGTTTCTCACAACAGTTCCCAACTTGGGGCCACAGAACAGTTTAAGGGCCACAATGGTAGGCACAAAAATGATATTACTTTCACTTTACAAGCAAATTCACCGTTATTGTCCTGGCAAAGCTTTAGTAAACCAGTACCTAAGTCTAAGTGCTTGACCTTGAATGGTTTGGGTTTCGACCTTGAGGGAGTCACCTTGATTGACCTTGGTTTTCACATTTAGTGGCTTTGACATTGAGTGACCTTTGCCTTGACATTGAGTATGTAACCGTGGTTTTCACATTTAGTAACCTTGACTTTGACCTTGAGTTAGTCAATGGGGGGCATGGTCCCTCAGACTACCCTGGCTACGCCCGTGTTTTCCACATTTATTGACTCTGACATTGAGTGAGTCTTCATGTTTTCCTCATTGCTTATCGATCTTATTATCGGTAAGTATGTTGATAGGTATTTGTCTGTCTGTCTGATTGTTTGTCTGTTAGATGAACGCGATATCTTACGAAGGTTGAATCTGCTCCTAATTTTGCATATGCAATAATCACATCTCGAACCAGAAGCCTATTGATTTTGAATGAATTATGTCGTATTATTAGCGAGTTATTAATTAATTAGTGATGGGACACACGGTGTCACTATAGAGTCATGAATGGAAACCGCAGTTTCGATCGATAATGGTTTGGTCTCCGACCCATATTCTCGTTTAGTGATTGTGACATTGATTGAATGACTTCGAAATTGAATGACCTTATTTTTGACCTTGAGTCAGCATATTAACTTGAAAAAACTAACTTCCTCAATCCTTACAATTTTTTCAGACCCTCTTAGCTGCTGATGACAAGCCTCTCATCCAATTTCTACCAACAATGTTAAACCAGCTATTGAAGCTGTTGGCCTCACCGAAATCAACCAGAGAAGTAAAATCAAATTGTATCAAGTCATTGGTTCATATTGTCACCATCTGTCACAAGAGTGAAAACCACAAGGATTTATTGAAGCAGTATATAAAAGTAAGATTTGGTACCTAAGTAGGCTTATACTTATTATTTAGAACAGGGTGGTCTAAACCCTGGCCCGCTTCATCATCTGTGGCCCGCGCCGCATTCGGAGAGTAATCAAAATATCGTATTTTAAATTTCTTTTCATAAAATAAATCAGAAAAATCGTTCGACATATTGTTGTTATATCACTATTGCGACTGAAGTGACTAGTATGATGGCTAGCTGAAGCAACTAGCGAAGTTCAAGATGTGATGGACAATGGGCAGTCTTAATTGTTACCTGGATTTCTATCGTTTTGGTTGGGAATATATGCTAACAATATAGGCTTGAAAGAAAACTAAAAATCAAATGCGAATTCCATTAGCCTAGTGTTTACACAATAGAAGTGCTTGTTTTGTATTGCACTGTTTACCTTGGTACTATTGTGGCCCGCGACCAATGCCAAAATAGTTTTGTGGCCCGCGGAGCCCACAACCTTGGACCACCCTGATCTAGAATTAAAGTTGAGAAATAAAGAAGTCTACATTTTTTTATAATGTGTTTATAATTTGTGCATGAATGAGTATCATGGTAATGTTAAGAACTGAACAATATCAGTAATACTACCAAGAAATACAAAGCAAAATTCTTTCAAGAACGATCAAATTCCTCTGTAGTTGGGAAACATGGTTTCAAACAGTTACATATATGGAATTTAAGTTGTGGCTTAGCGTCTATGATCATTTTTTACAATTATCACACCATAATGTAGTATGTGTGCCAGCTTAGGGTTAGGCCATAATTTCAGGTACTAATACCACAAGAATCACTTGGCTAGTCCCTGAACTCGTAATAGAACTAAAATAAAGAAAATTGGACCAAAATTTTTGGCCTAACCCTAACCTGGTACACATACTACTTTCCGGTGTCCGCCATCTTGGTTCACATACTACGGGAGTACCTAGAAAACTGCTTGTTTTACTATGTCTTATCAGACTAAATAAGTTGGCACCCCAGGATAACTTTATTTATCCTTCCTCTTTCTTTCTTTTATTCGTATTGAATTCAGTCGTGTAGTGCAATGGGTCACTATTTGGCTGTACCATCTCATAATTTTTTTCTCTTCTTGAATCCTACTCATAACTTAGCTGACTTTTCAACTTTTTTTTTCGTGTAATAAACTTTCACATTTCCTAATAGGGCCATAGTTAACTATACGACTAGTCTATCTTATTACTTATCGATCTTAAGATCGGTAAGTATATTGATAGGTATTTGTCTGTATGTCTGTCTGTCTGTCTGTGTGTGTGTCTGTTAGATGCACGCGATATCTCACGAAAGCGAGATTGAATCTGCTCCAGATTTTGCATGTGCATTCATCTTATCTCGGACCAGAAGCCTACTGATTTTGAGCGAATTATGTCGTATAATTAGCGAGTTATCGATCAATTATTGATATAGTGATCTAGATTTTTGTAAAGCGAGAGAATTTTGAAACCCGCCGAGTGTGTGTGTGCGATGCGCAGTGCGCAAGTTACAAGAGCGGATGAATCGAAACTGCAGTTTCTGTTTGGGGGGATCCCCTAACTATCGATCGATAAGTCTTCGGTTTCCAACCGATATTCTCGTCTGCTTTCTTATCAGGTTGTGGTTCGCCATATGATAAAGCTATTCATATTCTTTCCTCTCCCCTGGGATAAATATGTAAATCCTGTCCTATCATGTTATTGCAATATATTTTAATAAGAGAGGTGTTACTGATCTTTTCTCAATTCAAGCTGCAATCTTGGGAAGACTTTGCGACTTTTCGATTCATTATAGTAATACATAAATGTTAGCCAGATTGCCTAAGCAGGCTTGTACTAAACATACAAATACATATTTGGAATTGAGTTTGTGACGGGAAAAATTGCCATTTTCTCATATTCATCTGTCCTTGTTCAATTGTTTTATATTCATATCTCTCTCCCAAATATTGGGTACTCCTGTAGTATGTGTACCAGGTTAGAGTTATGCCACAATTTCATTCCGATTTTTCTTGTTTTAGTTCTATATTGGACAGGGGTCGTGATCTTAAAATGTTGGGAAGCCCTGCACTACATTACTGAGCCATCTTATGAGCTTTCCTCTCCTCCTGATATGCAATTTTTTTTTCAGTACATGTTCGTCACTGAGCCTTGGCCTGATTACCAAACTCCTACAGTCCACGAAGAGCTTGTTATCAACATGACGGAACTTCTGCGGCCATCTGTGACTGATTTCTTAACGATGAATAAACTGTTGCGGCATTTATCCTTCTTTCTTGAAATTGTTGTCAAGAGTATGGCTCAACATTTAATCATGGCACAAAAGTAAGTTTTTGAGTAGCTTTGGAATTAATTAAACGGTGTGACGCATCTTGCGAGCGTTAGGAAGGGCTCGCCATCAAACCTCTGTTTAGGTTTCGAATCCTATACAAGGATAGTTGTGTGCGACAGAAGTATGTTTACCAATAGAAAGGTATCTAATTTTTTTTTGCCTACTTTACATTAGGTTGTGTAAAGGGACTGGAACTTATGGACAGGGGATATATTCACTTGGCTAACACAGACAGTCCCCGAACTCGTAATAGAACTAAAATAAGGAAATTCCGGTACTCCTGAAGTATGCGCACCAAGATGTCACACAACCTGAACCCTAACCTGGTACACAACCTGAGTTCAGGTTGTGCACCATCTTGGTGCGCATACTTCAAGAGGTCCGAAAATCGTAATAAAATTATAGCCTAACCCTAACCTGGTACACATATTACGGGAGTACTGAATCTCATTGGGGATAATTATGTGCGAGAGGATTGCTGGACTCCTCGCCGTCATAAGGTGGTTCACCTAAAGGCTTGGTCAGTTATGGCTTTCTCCACCATTACATTAAGTCCATGCTTTTGAAAATAAATAACTAACTAATCCAATACCCCATATGGACTGGTAAGCGGACGAGAGGCCGTGGTTTGCTATATGATTAGGCCATCCTTTTGGCTTTCCTCTATTTGGCGTATGAATGTAAATCTTATCCTAAGTAATTACGGAGCTCCCGAAGTATGCGAACCAAGATGGCGGACATCGGAATGTAATATGTGTACTAGGTTAGGGTTAGGCCATAATTTTAGGTATGAATACTATGGGAGGCTCTTGGCTAGTCTTCGAACTGATAATAGGACTAAAATAAGGAAAATTGGAAAAAAATTATCGCCTAACCCTAACCTGTTACCCGTGTTACGTTCCGATGTCCGCAATCTTGGTTCGCATACTTCGGGAGCACCGTAATTACATTATAAATTGGTGATTTTAACAACAAACAGATGTTTCACAGAGTTAAGTTATGTATAGCATACAAACATCCCCTCATATGACTGTTGCATATGCAGCGAAATGTTTATGAAGTGCTATACCGATATGACGCAGACGTGAAATATTAATATAATACTGACTCAAGATAGATCATACTCTGATTAGTAAAAAAAATAAAAGATTTCAGTAATAATTAAAATGCTTCTCTAGAAGATGGTAGGATATGAAGCCTTTATTAAATTGAGAACACTAATGGATACTTCTAATGATTTCCTGAAACATTTAATAAAGATTTAATTTGATGCAGGGTTTCGAAACTGTAAACTGTATGTAAAAATTGTATGATTTTATAACTGCAATTCCATTCACCTGAAACTAATAACTAATTACCTATTACGATGAATACAATTAAATCAATATGGCAAGACGTTTAAATCCTTGCATTGGCCATTGACTGAATATTTTATGCAACAGAAAAATCTGCTGGAAGGTTAGCTATTCTAACAAGTGGCGTAACCATGGTGCCTGTTTTAAAGGCTGTTGCCCAGGAATTTTTTATTCCAATTTTTAAAACCCTTTTTTTTTAAATTCTGGCTACTGCCCTGTCATTTCTAATACAAGGGTACTGATGCCCTGAAACATTTTATAAAGACTCACATAGATTCAGAATTCCGATAACGAATATGCGCCAGTTTTAATAGCCGTTACATTGCTACATCTCTGCCTATTCCCATACTTGACATGGAATGGTGATCTGGGAGTCATATGAGTAAGCTGTCCAATCAGTTTTTTGCGAGGGCATATATGAATCAAGTTCAATCTGTTGGGTCCAGAAATTTCAGGAGGGCATTACATCATCATTTTCATAATTCAAAGTACAAACCTTACAATCATCCCCAGGATAACTTCTTCGTGGTCTCCTCTGAGGGCCCAGTTTGATTAACCCCAAACTAGAACATTGTTTGCATAATGTTGATATCATTGGGATTTCTTCTTTTTGCAGAATAAAACAACGACGCAATGAAAGATTTCCGGTCTCATTTCAACATGCGATACAGAGCTTACTCACGACTACGGTGCCTCATATTGTTGGAAAATGGAAGGTTTGCTCAATTTGAGAAATTTAGTAACGAGTCTTTTTTACGTTTGAGTGAATATGTATGACCTTAATCATATCTTGCTCAGAGATGAGATTGCTTAATTTGAGAAATTTAGTAACGAGTCTTTTTTACGTTTGAGTGAATATGTATGACCTTAATCATATCTCGCTCAGAGATGAGTAACCTTGAGTGAGTGTGCATAATCTCACTCATCCATTATCAGGGAACGATTCTATTTCACTTCTGAGTGAGTATGTGGACAAGTGTGGTACTTTAATTTTAGTAGTGATCGCCTGTAACTTTGCACAGGATTGAGTCTCTTTCCTTTCTATGTGAATAGGAATATGTGTGAGTGACATAGCTCAGAGAGAAGTCTCTTTTAACACATAAGTTACTAAGAGTCTTTTTTTATTCCTGAGTGAGGGTGCATTGCCCCACTATAACTCGTTTAGAGATGAATATCCTACTTCTTAGTGAGTGCGTTTAACCTTAATTGGAGATGAGTAGTTTTCATTTTTGAGTTACCGTTACTTTGCTCTGAGATGAGTCTCCTTCACTTCTAAGCATTTGTGAGATATCGGTATGGACAAATTCTTAAGCAAAAAAACTCTTTTTTCACAGACCAACTATGACGAAGTCTGCAACGCCAATCTGAGTATTGCACAGTTCGTCAAGAATTGTTTTACTTATGTTGATCGAGGGTTTGTGTTCAAACTCATTAACCATTACTTGGTTAACTTCAATGCCAATGATCCAAAGGTTTGTGATTTTCTTTGTATGATTTACTGTTTTTGTGAGAGCTAAAAGATTATTTCAGTGTAGAAATGTTCTTTAGATAAATATAAAAATCCTATTCTATCATGAATAGTGTATATTGTTCGTTTAACTGGTATTTGGGCGTACCAATATAGAGGAAACTATTTTTGTTTTCCCATTTACATAAAGTTGTGTAAAGGGCTGAAACCTATGGGCCTTGGCTAACACAGACAGTCACCGAACCGGTGATAGAACTAAGATGAAGAAAATCCTAATAAAATTATGACCTACCCCCAACTTGGTACACATATTACGGAAGTACCGATATTTGTATTCTATTCGAATTCATGGATAACTAGTCAGCTATGCACAAACCTAACATGGACTGGTACCTTGAGGAGAGTCGGTTCGGCAATGCCAGCCCAATTTCTTACACCCTAGTTTTTGAGGTGATGAGCATGGGATTCGCCCAAAATGTGTGAACTTCACTCTATTCTATTGCTCTATTCTCTACCGCACTGTCAACACGAGCTGGTGAAATAAACAATTGCCTTAGTGAACACACAATTGCGTTAGCATACTTTTTAAACAAACAATATAAGGTCAAAGCAGAAAGCGTTGTAAACATTCATGTAATAATCCGGCCCAGCGAGGACTTCATTTTCCTACATCTGGCCCGCCGACTAGAGAAGTTACCCACCCCTGAGCTAAACCAATTCGCACTGTAGAAAGAAAGGAATCTTTTTAAATCATTTAAGTATGTGGCAAGAGTCTTTTGACTGCCAGATTCTTGTTTGTTTTGGATTGTTGTTATGTGTCTGGCAAAACACTTTTGTCTGCCTGCTGTTTTGAAGTTTTTGGTTCAGATATTTTGTTCAGATTCAGCATTTTCACTGTTTTGTTATTCCAGGTCCTGTTTGAGTTCAAGTTTGAATTTCTCAGAGTCGTTTGCAACCATGAACATTATATTCCACTCAATCTACCGTTCGCTGCCAATGTCAAGAGGAATAAAACAGGTATTGCTGGATTTTACTTGTGTGACAATCAGTGCTAGATAAAAGTCCTTAAACTAAGTCAATTCATTGATGACCAAAACTATTCCAAAAACAAAAATAACATTTTTAATATGAAACATGACAGAAGTCTCTAAACCAGGGGTGTGCAACAAGAAGCACTTGTCTACACTCAGATTTTTCCCATCAAGCATAAAATCCGAGAGTTTGTTTTAAATGAGAGAAAACACGTAAGGTTTTTTGCTCCTGTCACTGTGTTGAATCTTTCACTGCTTTACCTGGTGCCTTTATTACTGTAAGGCTAAGCAATATTCTTTTCATTGTGAGAAATTTTTATTTTATGTGGAAAAAGTGAAATTTTTTTGTGTTCCAGCAAGATGTCTGAAGGTGATTATACGGCCCATCGACACAAATGTTGCACACCCCTGCTTTAAACCTCAAGTCGAGTCTCAAAATTATCATTATAAGAAATTGAATTTTTTATTATTACAAACTACCCCTGCTCAATTTGTTGAAATCGTGTAAGATCGAGATTCAATCAAATCATTGTTTATTTTGCATTTACAGCAATCAATAATTTATGCCCTCATCATGCTGAAAATACGCACCATATATATTCACAGATTCAAAAAAATATATAAACTGATTATTATGCACTGCCTTCTATATGTTCTCCATTAAACATAACTCAAAATAGACATCAGTATTCATTGCTGACTAAATGTCCCAAAATCCATGAACTCTGAGGAAAAAAACAGCAATCCTTGAGCATTATCAACTCTAATCCATTGTTTTTGACGATCCTTTCTTGGGTTATTACAATGAAATAAAGCTAATTCCATTCTCTCCATTTTTGTGTTTTTTTTAAAATAAAATTCATTTTATAAGCTGACAGCTGGTGGATCACTCAAAAATCATCATTTGGACCAATCGAGAGAGGTGATTGGTTGACATAATTTGCACAATGTAATACTGTAACCTGATTGGTGGATGTAATTTGCACAATTTAATACTGTAACCTGATTGGTTGATGTAATTTAATAAAAATAACAGTTGTTTTGGTTTTTTAAAACTTAATATTGTAACCTGATTGGTTGATGTGATTGGTTGTTAAATGTGCTCCTAAAACCTGATTGGTTGATATTTTTGATGAACTATTGTGATTGGTAACTGGGTGTAATACTGTAACCTTATTGGTTGATATTTTTGATTAACTATCGTGATTGGTAACTGGGTGTAATACTGTAACCTTATTGATTTAATGTATTTTTAGTTAACTTATCTGATTGGTTGTTAAATGTAGTACTGTAACCTGATTGGTTGATGTATTTTTAATTAACTTGCCTGATTGGTTGTAAAATGTAACACTGTAATCTGATTGATTGATGTATTTTTATTTAACTTGTGTGATTGGTTGTTAGATGTAACACTGTAACCTGATTGGTGGATGGATGTGTTTTAAATTAACTTGTCTGATTGGTTGTTAAATGTAACACTGTAACCTAATTGGTTGATGTATTTTTAATTAACTTGTGTGATTGGTTGTTAAATATAACACTGTAACTGGAACAATATAAGAGTTAATATGAGAGGTGTTTGGTGTTCAACAATTACGCTAATTGTCATGGATATACGGTAGCACCTTTCATCCCACATTTTTTTCAGTATTTCTTTGGTCCCATTTGCATACTTTTTGTTTCTCTGGCAGATGTAGACTTACTATTCGCAAAATTTCTGGTTCTATTTGCAATTATTATGATTCCATTTGCAGATGTTCTGGTTACACTTGCAAACTTTCTGTGGCTATTTGCGGATTATCAGGTTCCATTTGCAAACTTCCTGGTTTCATTTGTAAACTTACTGATCCCATTTAAGACGTTCTGGGTGAATTTGCAGACTTTCTGGTTTCTTTCGCAGATCTTCTGGTTCCATTTGCAAAGATTCTGGTTCAATTTGCAGATCTTCTGGTTTCATTCGCAGATCTTCTTGTATCATTTACAAGTTTCTGGTTTCATTTTCAGATATCTGGTCCCATTTGTTAATTTCTAGTCCTAATGGCACCTTTTCTGACTCCATTTGCAGATTACAACTACAATTCTATTTGCAGACAGAATAGATGCATTTGCCAACTTTCTGCTTCTATTTGCAAACATTCTGGATTTATTTGCATACATTCTGATTCCATTCGCAGACTTTCTGATTCTACTCGCAGACTTACTGGTTCCATTCGCAGACTTACTGTTTCAATTGGCAAAATTCTGGTTCTATTTGTATTTTTCTGGTTTCATTTGCAAATATCTGGTTCCATTTGTAAATTTCTAGTTCCATTTGCAATATCCTGGTTCTATTTGTATTTTTCTGGTTCCATTTGCAGATTACACTTAAAGTTCTACTTGCTGACATACTGGTTGCATTTGCCAACTTTCTTGTTACATATGCGGACTTTCTGGTTCCGTTTGCAAAATTCTGGTTGTATTTGTATTATTTCTGGCTTTGTTTGCATTTTTCCAGTTTCATTTGCATATTTTCTGATTCTTGTTACAGATTACAACTACAGTCTGAGTGAAGATTATTGCAAGAATCATTTCCTAGCTGGACATTTATTACAAAGTTTGAATGCTGCGATGTATGAACCTTCAGAAATCAGAAGTATCGCAATCGAGACTTTGAAGAATGTGCTTGCAAAACATGCTTTTGATCCCAGGTATGGTGGTCACTGTACAGTGTAGCAAAAAAAAATTTGCCTGATTTTAAAATAATAAATAATAAGTTAATAACAATTCAAAATTTTTTAATTGTTATTACTGTAAAATCGGGCGAATTGTTTTGGACACCCTGTATACACATTGTTTTATTTACATATCTTTGCTTCGGACAAGGCTTTTGTCGTTCTAGATAAACTTTCTATATAGTTCCAGTGACCCTTCGCATTTTACTTGGGGGGGACAGGGGGAGATTCCTGGAGCCTATACCCTAAAAAAACACCAAGGAGGTAGTTCCCGACCGTCTATATTCTGTGACCTCCTCCCGAAGGCTTTCGCACTCATGCCCCCTGTTTGTCATTCCAGTGGTATTTATAGTGTTATTTTGATTGGTAGATTCTAAATCCCATAATGTTCATGCACAACAAAGTGAAAACACCCTGCGAAATACCCTAATCAAGCAATGAAAGGAAGAACGGGGAGTTTTCTTGTAAAGTTAAAAGTAAAATCGATTTTGCGTGTTTTTGCCCCTACTCAAATGCTCAATTGCCATGTATTCTCGGTTGAAACCACTGCTTACGCTATCTGTACTGGTAACCTGCCGTGGTTCACTGTTGATCTTCTAATTTTACTATCCTTCTCCCCCATGGTAAATATGAAAATCATATCCTAATATCTACAGGTATAACACACCAGGCCACCAAGCCAGGATAGCTGCTTTGTATTTGCCGTTCCTAAGAATTGTCCTGGACAATGCCGGGAGATTTTCACTAGAGAATGATGGATCTTATGTAAGTACAGACGCGATTTTGATTATGTTCTTATTTATGCCTAGTAGTTCGGAGAAATACACCTTGATGCACACTCACTGAACCCTCTAGTGGTGAGTATGCCGTTTTGATCAGGGGAAATAAAAAATACTGGTCCAATCGCTTTAAAATGTTCAATATGTACCTTTCACTATTACTTCTACGCCCAACAAAATTACTAGGTATAGAGAGAAGCATTGAAGCCACTATTCCAACTGGGTAGAAATTTTGTCATGCCTATGGAGAGAATTTTCTTCAATTACTAATTATTACTCTAAAACTTATTTAACCCTTTCCGTGCGGTGGGCACGTATACGTACCAACGACAAAAGTCGCTAGATTGCGACGGGTACGTTGATGTACTCCACTGTTTTATTTTGCAATCGGTCACAAACTGTTGGTCTAGTTTTTCCGGGTTTTAGTTTATTGATAAGAAGTCTTCTTCGAGATTAACATAAGCGACGGTAAATCTCGCTTTCGTTTACGAGGAGAATTTCATTTGCGGCGGAACGAGGGGGTGTTTTTGAAAATTTATGCAAATTTCGGTGTTTTTTGGGTGGTAATAGAAGACATATTATCCCTTCCATCTACCAAAGTATTGTGAGTTAGATCACGAAATTGCTACACCAGTATTATGCTATTGTTTGCCAACCACGAAGCGGTAACAGTAAAGGATTTAGCGAATATTCCTATTTTTTATCACGGTTTGAAGTTTCAACTCCCAAGAAAAAAAAATGCCGTTTTTCTATCCGGTTTGTGACTCAAACCACCACTTTTAAAAAAACTTTTTTTTAATCGCTAATTGCAAGCTCTTTAAATAAGCTTTTCATCGAGCCATCAGTGGGCAGCAGAGGATCATTAGTTTTTCGTTAGTCGATCGATTAGTTGTGGTGGTACAAATGCATAAAATCGGCGTAGCAAATACGATTATTTAATAAGAAATAAAAATCGCATGGAAAGGTTCAAGCAAACATGTTCTAACTGTAAAAAAAGCAGAAGAGTGAAGTGTGCATCACACTACCTTAGAATCTATTCAGGATTGAAAAGTAGTTTTTATGCAAAGTGAGAGAGAAATGAAAAGTTCCAAAATTGGCGAAGGAAGGAATTTAAAGACTGCATTGAAGAAACTTTTTTTTTTTTTAATAAAAATTTTTGTTTTAGTCCTCTCGAGATGACTTGGACAACACTCCATCAAAGTTTAATGACTCAGCTATTTCTGGTTCCTACTCCCCGAAAATTGACAGAATTAATGGAAGTTTGAGAATGGGGAGAAATCCAGCGGACGCAAACATGTTGAGCGCTATAGGTAAGTTTAGGGCTCCTTCCTATCTTATATTTATTTTGAAATAAGCTTTGAGCAAGTTTCAAACTTGCAGAGCACACTTATTAGCGATCCAGAAGTGTGTGTACCAATATGGAGGTAACTAATTTTGTTCGCCTACTTTACATCAAGTTGTGTAAAGGGACTGAAACCTATGGGCAGGTGGTATATTCACTTGGTTAACACAGACAGTCATCGAACTCGTAATAGAACTAAAATAAGGAAAATCGAAATAAAATTATGGCCTAACCCTAACCTGGTACACATACCATGGAAGTACCTACTTATTTACTAATTATAATTTCAATAAAAGTCCAGATTCTAAGTGAAAGTGATGGCTCATTGGGTAAAGTATTACCCCTAGCCATGGGGTAAAATCCCATAACACCACCTAACGGGGAGGTAATAAATTTGGGAGGCAATGATAAACCGAAAAGAAATCGTTTACTCCCTGGAGTCGGGAGCTAGCGAGATCGTAATTTATTTTGTCACCATACTAAAATACGACATTTTTTCATACAATAGAGGAAAAATTTTAATTTCAGGGTGAAAAGGAAGACGCGAAATCAAGAAAAATGTCCAAATTTCCAGACCTTGGCTTATCAGATATAGTGTTGTCTATATATGGCCTTGCAATCACAAAGTATTTGTTTTCTGCTCACAATTTCTCCGCGCCAATATTCATTTTCCATTTTGTTTTCCAGCCAACCCTGGACTTCTTGGAAAAGATTCAAGAGCCTCACTTGCAGTCAATGAAGCCAGCACGCAGCACTGGACAGAGTTGGTTGAAAGGGTAAATTAGCCCTGCTTGAAGCTGTTTTTCTTGAGTCTATGTGTATAAGCCACTTTCACATTTCTTAAATCATAAACCATTAACCCCAAATTTGCGGCTCTTCAGAAATGTGATTGCTTGTGGCTACTGAAAAGCTCTTCATCGCACTCCTGGCCGACAACACTGTTTGAGAAACATGATTCAAAATGTACAGGTTCCCAGTTTTTCGACATTCAAATTATTATAGTTATCGCAAATCGTTCTGAAACTGAGTGAATACTTTTGTCAGTGGTTCTCAGATCAGCTGCATGGCCCCCTGAAATGGCTGAAGGCCCAGTTTAAAACGCAGACCACCCAGCCCTATTCCCGTTCTAAATTAATGTAGTCATCACAAACAATACTGAATGAATGCTTCTCTCTTGGCCCCCCCCCCCAGAGAACAGCCACATGGCGCCCTAAAAGAGCCCAGTTCAAAACCAATGCCCCCCTTCCTGATTTTTCCATAGAAAAATTGCAATCTGAAAAGCTAAGTATTTTCACTCTTGCTACAGCATCCTTGCATCATATGCACACGAATCCACCGACACAAAAGCATAAAAGAGGGATAATAGTTAGTCCTGCAGAAAGCTAATCAAAGTATTTACATTTTTCTCTATTCTCCAGAATCTCAGCCTCACGAGCGCAACCCGTTTATTAGGCACAGAGCGTTTCGACATCTCAGAATCTCGTAGTCTTCTTCTCTGCTTCCTCCAAGTATTGAAGAACATCCCTCCTGATGCTCTCAAAGGTTTCTGGCTTCAGTCTACCACTGATGAACAAATTGAATTTTTTGACCTTATCGAGTAAGTTATGATTCCGCTCCCTTGTCTCATTTCGTTATATAATGGTACAATAATTTAATAGCAAATTATACTCCATTTTTATTACTTATCGATCTCGATCGCTAAATATGTTGATAGATATTTGTCTCTTAGACACTTTCGTATGTTACGCGATATCTCACGAAATCTGAATCTGCTTCAAATCTGCTTCAAAACTGATTAACTAATCCCATACCCGACATGGACTGGTAACCGGACAAGAGGCAGTGGTGTGCTATATGGTTAAGTTGTCAGTTTTTTTCTCATGCAGAATAAATATGTAAATCCTATCCTATAAGTTACATGCGACTGATATATATAAACAGCAATCTGAATTGGCCATTTATATAAGTTAGCAATAAATAACAATAACATGCTGTTTCACACACAAACACAAGTGCTTCTTCTCTTCATTAACTTCAATAAAAACTTGAGTAATTTTTTTTCAGGGTCTGCATGTATCAGTTCAGATATACTGGTAAAAGACAACAAATACAAAATATAAGGTATGCTGTCTTTCTTTGTCCCTATTTACTTTATCTTTTTTACTAAAGTTGATGACTTCATTTTAGTTTGTGTAAATGCCAGGGTCAGTCCCAGTAATCTAGTCTTGTCAGCTGAGTGTAAAGAGTTCAGAAAAAATATTTTGTGAGAACCTGAATAATGTGGCAAACACATAGGTTAGCGTTTTTTATGCGACGTTGTCATATTTTGGCGCTCCAGAAGTATTTGTACCAAGATGACGCACAACCTGACCAATCATAACTTAGTACACATACTATGTTCAGGTTGTGCGCCATCTTGGTACGAATATTTTCACTTACCGTAAGTAGGGATCTTGGCAAGTAGTCACTGTACTAGTGAGTTTATTATATTTATGCTATTTGCTCTAAACAAGAGTACATAAAGCCATTGATATCTAACTATACGTAAGAAACTACTTAGAGCGCTAACTTTATTGTATCACCATAGGTGCTTGAATACTTGAATGTAATAAGTGATCAGTGTGTCAATTCAGAAAAATGCTATTTATTAAATTTTGCTTGATTTTCATAATTTTCTACATTGGGCTATATACTTCTCAGAAAAATGTGTGCCCACATAAACATCAAGTTGTTTGTCAAATTCGTGTTTAATTATTTTGTAAATTAGCTAAGTTATATTTGAATAATCTTAATTTGATTAGCTTATTTTTTGATTCAGTTTGAGCTGTTTTAAGTAGAGGTGTTTGGTGGGGTGTGTTAAAATTTATTTTATGTAGCTTTTGATTTATCATGCTTCTAGCAGGTATATTATCGCTGTGGTTTGTGTAACCTGCAGCCTGACTTTTGTACATTTTGATCAATTTAAATTTTATCCACAAATGTGTCAATAATTCTAAATACCTAAGAAATAATATGCTTTGGTCGTCTTCTCAGTTTTTCTCCCCCCAGGGAGATCCCCACACTTCCCCAATAAATATGAAGGATATTGAAATTCTGACGACGTAAATATGAATTCTTGCATAAAGAATTGAAATTCATACCACAATCCCCCCAAGAGTAAGTATTAAAAAAATCTAAAATCCTGACAAACTTTTTTATTTTTTTGTTTGCGAGTGTATTCGATTCTACAAAGCATTAAGACTTGAAATTTATGCCGGGAGTTTTCTAATGGTAAGATATATGTCATGAACAAATCATTCCATATATGCATGTATAAATATAGAATGTCCATAAAGTCTGAAAATTGCGAAGGGGAATTTATTGATACCATATATTGTTTTGGCCCTCACAGATGTATTAAATGAAGTATAAATACTTAAACAATTGCTGATTAAAAAACAACAAACCTGGTTAAGATATATTCATAACAAAATTGAAATCGTAAAGGGACTTTATGGACACCCTGGATATATACAGTTCAACATCCCTATATTTTTTTTTTAATTTTTGGTCATGAAGATTTATGTTTGCATGATTTAACTTTTGTGATCACTCTGTCTGGATAAGATGCTACACAATCTTCCACTGTGTCGCTGCTTGATAACCTGCTTTGGTTCCCCGCGACTTACCGGTACCCTCCTCAGTAAAACTGTGTACATTATCATTTTTCCGAAATTTGTGCTTGCGACATTCATTTATTTTTTTACTGGTTGGAAAAAATAAACTTGACTACTGACTTAATAAAAATTATGAAAAAAAATAAATAATGATTCCACTAGACAGAACATAACTTTTGTGCAAAGCGTCCTAGGTTAATGTATTTTTGGGTACAATCATACATAAACGGAAGTGTCTAGTAATTTTTCTTCATTTTCATAAAAGTGGTTATCGAATTTGAGGGTTCTGTGTTGCTATGATTCTTGAAGGACCAGTATTTATCTGTTATACAATCTAGCCAACTAAATAGGCTTACCTTACGTCTCGTTTTTGGCGAGACAGTCCCACTTTTCAACATCTTGTCCCGGCGTCCCAACCCGCCAGCCAAAAGTCCCGCTTTTGCGTTCAGCCAGTCCCGCATAACACACAAACATTACCAATTAGCATATTCTCGATACTGTTGCTGCTGTGTAGCGTACTGGTAGCCTACTCACTGAAGGTGGATGCGTGGTTTTGAGTGTTTCGTTGTTGTTTGCGGGTAATTGCTACAACTTGTTACGTGTAAGCTCGTATGCCAAAAGGGTGCATAACCTTAAAGTAAATTCCTTTCTATTTTTCGATCAGAAACCGATATTTAGACATGCCGATTATTTAGCGCATGAACTCTCGATGTCATTATAGTCGATGAAGACAGCCGGGATGGTTTTAAATATAGGCCCCTGATGTAAAATTAGTAACTTCAAAGTTGAAAAAAATTACACCTTGGGCTTTGGATCACAAGTTTCTAGGCCTATAATTTCAGCATTGTTCAGTCCAATGTGCAAACAATTAGTGCATTAATTTTCTAACAGATTTCACGAATGTTTTTATGCCTTGACTTCAAGTGAGGCTATTTTCTGACAGCCATCTACATACCAGAATAGCTACTTACTTTTCAGCATTTTATTTGTTTTGTTTCCAAGCATGTTTAATTTTTTATCAAGGCTTAAATGTAATGCTCGGTTGTTACAATGTTGGTACAGCATGGATCAGTTCTTCATTCTAATTGTTGATTTCTTAATTTATTATACATGTCATTGTTTTTTTTTTCTTCAGAAGTATTACTCTTACATACGAGGGTTCTTAAAACTGGCAATAGTTTCCTAATTTATATTTTCTACTGTAAGTTTATTTCGACTCCGTTATCAGCATAACAGACGATAAAATAATTGATAAAAACAAATGGATAAAACTTATTACTGAATCACGAGAAAAAGTAAAAAGTGAAGTTTACTCAAAACAAATTTTAAATAAAATGGTGTTGCCAAAGAAGGGATACGTGTTCACTCATTTAAAATATAATACAGGTTGATCGCATAAAAGCAGAAAGTTTTAAGGTCAGGTGAGATAATGAATAAATGGCGTATAGGTTGAATAGGAACGATATCTCACAAGTTAACCTATAAAACGCTACCCGAGCCTGGACTTCTACGTTAAGACACTGTTCTGAAGTGCACGGACAACATTTTGAGCATCTATGATTGTAATGTAACATATGCCTTTAAAAAGTAAAAGTTACGTTTCACGAATGAAATGCGTATAGGTATAAGTTAAATTTGAACAATATCCCAGAAGTTAAACCTCAATACCCTACATGAACTTGGACTTCTTAGGACATTGTTCTGAAGTGCACAGCAACATTTTGAGCATCTATGAGTGTGATATAACATATTCCTTCAAAAACTCTGTAAAAGTTGTTCTTGGTAATAAATGAATATCTGTTCGATAAATTTTCTGTTTTTCTAGCCACAACTCTGTGTTTATTCATACACACACATACACAATTTCATGGGGGGGTATCATTTCAATTTAACGTATATCTATTTTATTCATGATCTAATCTGACCCTCAACTTTTCTGCTTTTATAGCACCCCCCCTGTATTATATTTAAATAAGTGAACACGTTCCACAAATCTTGGCAATAGCTTTTTATCTAGAATTTTGTTCAAGTTAAACAACCCACATAGATATGAGTAAAATAGAGGAACGGCATAAAAACATTAATTTTTTAGTATTAATAAACACTTCTTTTTTCAGATTTGGTTCTGTTTCTAAAAAATCTAGCAAAGCGTTGACGATGCCAGCCAGAATCCGGCCTGGGACTTCGCACCAGTATAAGCATATCAGTATTCTGGCTGAACCAATGGTTGCACGTAAGTATTGTTTTATTCATTTTATGTAAAAGTGTACATATGGATCTTAAATTTTCGTGGTTTGGTTAGAAAATTTGCTTTTCTCATCACCTATTGAACAAAACCAGTGATTCTCACCGCGCCATTTTTTTTTAAATTTATCGAGACTCACGTCCCACCTCAAAAATAAAATAGCTATCAATAAACTAAGAATAACAGTTAATTTGGTGAATGAAACGTGGATGATACGTAAATAATGAATCCTTATGACTGAGAGGGTGAAAGTTGATGCGATGATTGAAGCAACGTTCTTCAAACTTTTTTCATCGCAACCCATTTGGCCATCATGCTCACTGAACAAAATATAAAATTCATCTCACAGAATCTGGTCGACTCATAGATGAACAAGACGCCGCTCACAATTCGATGTTGGAGGCGAATCTGGCTTCGGAAGTTGGAATGATTATCCTGGATGTATTGGGAGACTTCACTCGACATTTCAAGGTAGAGAAAGATTATTTAATTTGAATTCAATATTATATGATGGAAGTTTGGGATAATTGGGTGCAAATAAAGGGGTTCTCTCGAAGTATGTGCACCAAGATGGCGCACAACCTGAACATAGTATGTGTAACAGGTTGGGGTTTTTCAGGTTGTGCGCCATCTTGGTGCACATACTTCTGGAGCGCCAGGAAAAGTTTGGCTCAAAATATTCATAGTTGGTTAATCATGGAATTCTCCATTAAATTCTTTTTTCTGGTGTTCCCTGTCTTATATTCTCAATGGGGGCGCTTCAGTAGTATGTGCACCAGAAAGGCGGACACATGAACGTAGTATGTGTACCAGGTTAAGGTTAGGCCATAATTTCAGGTACAAAGACTACGGCTAGTCACTTCGCTAGTCCCCTAACTCGTTATAGAACTAAAATGAGGAAAATTGGAATAAAATCATGACCTAACTCTAACCTGGTACACATACTGGTGTCCGCCATCATGGTTCACATACTACATGAGTATCCTCAATTTAGTGTTTATACGATATTCTCAATTCCTATGTTTCCCTTCTTATTTACATGTTATAGTTTTTTCATCCTATTCTTAATTCCAGTGTTTCTCCTCGTTTCTCAATCCTAGTTTTTTTCTTCACTTTTTTTCAATTTCAATGTTTCCTCTCCAATGTTCAACTCTCGTAATATGTAAATCAAGATGGTGGTCACCAGTATGTAGTATGTGTACCAGGTTAGGATTAGGCCACGATTTTATTCCGATTTTCCTTATTTTGGGTTTATTACAAGTTCAGGAACTGTCCAAGTGACTCATGTAGTATTTGTACCTGAAATAATGGCCCAACCTCAACCTGGTACACATACTACGTACTAGTGACCGCCATCTTGGTTCACATACTTTGGGAGTACCCCATTAGTTATTTAGCCAATTCAGTGTTCTCTTTAATTTGTTGATTCTAGTGTTTTCACCATATTTTTAATTCTATTATTCTCTAGTTTGTTAATTTCAGTGCCCCCATACATTTGTCAGTTCCTATGTTCCCCATGTTAACTCAACGTGCAAATGTATAATCAAAAAATGTACACAAACAACCGGAGTAACCCCCAAGGACACACCAACAGGAATTATCCCTCAAATACAGTGACCTTCACAGCTGGTTGGTCATGATCAGTCATCTGTGACTGATGACATCACAGGTCATGCTCAGCCATCTGGGAAAATGCTAGTTTCCAGAAATACAATAAAGATACAGTTAACACTGCATCCGTTTTGAAGTTATAGTTTTCCCTTTTTTCAGAAATATCTCCAAAACAAAGAAGGAGACAACCCACTCATGCAGAGACTATCTTCAGTGTTTCTTCTCTTCCTGCAAATCAGCCAATCAGAATACGTATTAAAACATGCATTTGCATCACTGAGACTCTTCATGTGTAAAGTAAAAATCTTTTATTTATTCATTTCCAATATCGCCAAGTCAGACTGTCAAAGAAGGAGTTCTGGAATTTCCATTTGCCAATTAAGGTTGTAACAGCTAGCCAGTGGGCCCAGCCAGGAAACGTCGGATTTCAAGAATCTTGGGGCTCTGACCCCTGACCCCCAAACCATCCCTGGAATATATTAGGGCAGTGGTTCCCAAACTTTATAGAGTTGGGACCCACTATTTATTACCACAGCTTATGGCGACCCATTTAACTTTGATAGATTAATAAAATTTTAATTTCTGGGAAACACGGTAAGAAGTGCTGTACAGTGTACAAAACTGCTATGCATAAAAAAGCCACATGGTCATTCCTTGTTTAGCAAATTTCTGTTCTTTTGAGAAGATCGTAAAAAGAAACTTTCACAGATTAGAATTTAAATTCAATTTCTTTTGTTTTTTTGAAGATTTACGTATTCGAGTCGCCCCGATCCTAATAACCAGTATAATTAATCAAAGCTTTCTACATTTTTTCACGACCCACTAAGATTCCTTTTGCGACCCACCAGTGGGTCGCGACCCATAGTTTGGGAACCGCTGTACTAGGGGGTTCTAACCCCTAAACCATCCCTGGCTGCGAAGGGGTGTTGCGATCCCCAAACTCTCCTTGTCTGTGCCCCTGGAATATACTACGATAAAGGTAACAGAATTACCAAATTCATCTTTTATTTTATTTTTAGTTTCAACCTGCTCTTTTCCGTGGTAAAGCCGATCTTTGCGCTTCGTTGATCTACTACGCCCTCAAGTGTTGTAATTCTCGTCTCGCAAGTACTCGATCAGAAGCGTGTGCACTACTATATCTTCTCATGAGGACAAATTTTGAGTTTTCGGGGAGAAATTTTGTGAGATCTCACCTTCAGGTATGCTTTGTATAGATAAGATATGCCTAGAGATAAGATCGCCTAAACTGTATAAACCAGAATATCGGTCAGAGACCGAAGACTTATCGATCGAGAGTTAGGGGATCCCCCAAAACAGCGCTCTTATTCCATAGTGACACCTTGTGTCCCATCACTAATTTTTTAATACCTTGCTAATTATACGACAAAATCCATCCAAAATCAATAGGCTTCTGATCCGAGATATGATGAATGCATATGCAAAATTTGGAGCGGATTCATCATCGCTTTCGTGAGATATCGCGTGTATCTAACAGACAAACAAGCAAACAGACAGATACCTATCAACATACTTACCGATCTTAAGATCGATAAGTAACTAGTACCACGTTTAATAAATACTAAAGCAGCGTTTCTCAAACTGTGGTCAGCCTTCTCTTTTTCTCAATTACAATTCCTATCATATTCTCAATCCCAGTTTTCCTTATCTATTTTCCAATTTGATTGTTTCATCATTTTGTTAATTCAAGTATTCTCATCAGATTTTCAATTTCATTGTTCCCACCCAAGTCTACTATTCTCACAAATGTCAGCTTCTAACAATGTTCTAACTTTGAGCAGCACTGATAAAAACTCTGCCTGGTTTATCATCGCAAGGGTATTATCAGTGTTGTACAATAAGTGTTCCTATATCTAATCTAATTCATCAACTGTTATCATATCCTTCTGCTGATATCAACTTATTTCCTTGACATATTCAAACATGCAAATTCACAGACTTATTTTCAATGCAATTGCAAGCATGTTGCCAACATGAATCATAATGTACCATTTTTTAACTGAAAACTCTTATCTGTGGTTATCAGTTCTTATCACACTTTTTAGATGATCAAAGCAGTATCCCAGCTTATCAGTGAAGAAGTCGGAATCGGGAATTCAAGATTTCAGAATTCATTATCTGTTATCAACGCCTATGCTCAGAGTGATAAGGGAATGCAGGTATGAGGTTTCGAATTTATTTTTCATTGTGGGGGGGAGGGGGGGTATTGATAGACCATGGCTGCTTTGAAAAAAGTTGTTGTATGAAGGGAATTACCATAGTATTTTTAACAGGTGGGGGTGTGTTTTTAGGCGATGGATGGGTTTGTCGTTGTTTTACGGAGTAGCCCATAGTTGTCTTAAAAGGGGTTCCCATTTTAGTGTGGGGCTTTTTTTTTTTGTTAATAAGGCTAATGTGTGGTTAATATGGGACCTCCTGAAGTATGCGCACCAAGATGGCGCACAGCCTGAACTCAGGTTGTGTACCAGGTTAGGGGTTCAGGTTATGCGACATCTTGGTGCGCATACTTCAGGAGTACCGGTTAATGGGGTGGATATGAGTGATGGCGGCATAGCATGGGTTCTTTTTGATAGTGAAAGTTTGTTGTTTTGTAGAGGGAGTATCATAGTATTCTTGATAGGTAGGGAATGAATAATATAGATATCTTGTAAAGGTTCAGGGATTCAAGATTTCTATTTTCTTAATGTGTTATCAATGCTTTATTTGCGATTGCGAAGACATTTAAAACCATGATTACTCTCTTGTTAAAAGATTGCTTTATGATTGAGGACAATTTGGCAATAATGTTTTTTTGTTGAGGTGATTAAGACTTCTATTTCGATGAGGTAATTTAATTTGGTATAATAGGTGGGGAGTCTCACAGATAAGATTCTTTATCACTATCACTTTATCACTATCACTATCTTAATATTGGTAGGACATTGCATCATTTTGAGGTGACTCTACTAACTCGGGATTTAGCTAGACTAAGCCAGATGGCAGAGATAATTGACTCGGGATAATTTTGATTTATTCATTGGAGAAGTTTCAGTGAAATATGGTCCATATTTGTAGATTGATGTTACGTTGGGGTAATGTATACAGGCATGCTCCAATTATTTTATGACTTACTTGTGCTTTGCTGCCTACAGTTTGAGAACCATTTGCATAATACTACTGGATATAATTTTACTGTTTATTAACACGTAAACCCCTGTTTGACCATTTGTGTCAAGTTTTATAAACATCAGCAGAAAAGAATTTTTTTCTAGGCAAGGACTGATATTCTTCTTTTTGCTCTTCTCGTAGATTGAGAACTGTGGTAATTTATATAATTTGTATTGCATATTTTGGTATTCTTAACTCCAACTGTTTACTGGCAACAGTAATTTATCTGCTGAGTCGTACTTGGCATGCTTTTATCCGAGTCATGTTTCGTTGGTGTTCCATCATTTCATTGTGAACTGCTTTAAGAGGTTGCTAATGATTAGGTGAAATAAAGCCCAGTATCTTAGATACTCATAGATTTATTTGTAAAGTAATACCGGTGAACATAAAATGTGAAATAAAATATCACAGTTTCTTTACCCGCCTCCTTTCGAAATTTTGCAGCGAATTATTGTTATCTCACAACACCCTACCATTGTCTTACCCTAGCAGGCATAATTTTACCTTTTTATCCTCTTCGACCACCTGACTATAGAATATTCTGTGAATTCAAAACAACACTTATCTTTATGTTATTTTATTTAAAAAGTTCTTTACAATTAGAAATACAAGAAATGGAGTTTGAACATATTGATAGGTGAACATATTCAATGTAAAGATTTGCTACTTTTATTATTACTAGGCCTATAGTTAGATGTAGATTAAAGGAGCGTGCATATTCCTTTTTCTCTGCTTTTGCGTTAACGGATCTGCATGTACTGTAACAAGAATAAATCAAACGTTTCATCTTACTCAGGGAACATTAGACAAAACTTTGAATCACTTAGAACAGTCATTTTCATTTTTGCTACAACATCATTGCATTGACCGGGTGCCAAAATTAGAAGCGAAAGGTTATTTGCGGGCTGTGAGAGGGAAACGCCCGCAAGTGGCCCATACTGTTATAATTGAATTGTTGCGAATATACACATGTTAAACCGTGATATGACCTAACAATTGACGGTGTTTAGAAAGCAAAATAAAAAAAGATAAAGTGATAACTATTTTATTTAAATTTGGCGGACCATAATAATTCATTACACTTGCCGTAATGGTCTGCGGTCGAGGTTTGGGAATCACTGATCTAACAGAAACCAAATCAATAGTATATACAGTAGTTGTTTCAACTCATTCTGGGGTCTCAAGATAAAGAACATCAAAAAAATACATTCCTTTTTTTTAAAACAGTTTTTTCATGTTTCTTCCCTTGCTATATTCTATCTTAGTTTAGTAATCATACCCAGAACCATTTTTTAAAACCATTCTATAAAATCAACCAGTCAATGTTAAATATTTCCATTCTCAAACATTCATACAGTCTCATAAACATTGTCATATAAACTCTTTCAGTTAATATTGATATTGGGATGGTAAACTATGCACCCACGGTAAAATGCAACCTGTCATATTTTCCGTTTGAACCAAACATAATTAAGTAATTTCATTACTGTATTTCAAACCAATTGCTTGTGTTCGAAGTGGAATGGAAATAATTTCAAAAGGGAACACTCAATTTTGTCGGAAGTAAATTTCAGCATCCATATTCTCACACCATCTGTTTTGATGTCTCCCCACAGTAGGTTGTGGTTCTGTAATTTTATTTTCATCAATTTCACGATATCTGATATTAACCACGGTTCATACTTGGCATAGGGTAATTCCCACTTATCTAGTATTTATGAACTCTAGTGTGACATCACTATCTTAATTATCGCATAACAATGCCTAATGCCAGTTGTCTTCTTCAAGTTCAAATGTCATCTTTTAGTTCCCAAGGGAGAATTTATTTTGTTTCTGTCTTTATTATGGGGAGTTGAATTGAGTTCATTCAGTAAAAGCTATTTAGACAGTTTTTTTTTTCTGAACAAGAAAGCCAATAGGCTCTTCAGAAAGTAAATATCTCACATTTGTTTCAATAAAAGTCTAGCTTTGTGAAATGAAGCACAAAGTGTGATTCAAAGTTCTTAATATATAGGGTGTCCATAAAGTCTTAAAATTTTCAAAATTAGAAAGGGCATTTATCGATACCATACATTCTTTTGGCCCTCACAGATGTATTAAAAGGTGTAAAAATACTTAAACAATTACTGATTGAATAACAACAAACCTGGTTAAGATATATTGAGAACTGACTTCATAACAAAATTGAAATTGTTAAGGGTCTTTATGGACACCCTATATGGCGGATAAGTATCGATATTGATATTCAAAGTATGGAACCGTTATTTTAATTTTTTAGTGCCTTTGTGCTTGTCTCTCGAAGCTGAAGCACTGATACAGAAGCCAGTCTTGTCTGTATTATACAATATAGTAAATTAAGTTGCTTTGACTGGCGTGGCAGGTGCCGATTTTGTGGCGCCATTTGCCAATGGTGGCGTGTCTTTTATGTCACTCTTAGCTGTGCCATTGACACCTTTTTCAGTAGTGTTTTTAGTAGGAGTGTTGTCTGCTTTTACCCCGGCTACGTCAAGGCCTTCAGTGCTTGCTGTTAGGACAGTCTTTTCGTAAAGTTGTTTGATCGGGGTCGTGTTTTTTTTCTCTTTCTTTGGCGATTTGTGCGGACTTTTCCTCAAGCGTAAGAAACGTGAGAGCGAGTTACGACGTCGCAACTTCGCTCCTGTATACTGCGGTGACTTCTGTACTGGGGAACCATCCCGCGGAGACGCATACTGGTAGTCATACACTAATTGCCCATCGACGACCACTGGAGGGACGAAAACATTCCCAGATTCGCTTCGTTCTAATGTCTCCAATTCATTAGGTAACTCGTCAATTGGTTGAGATTTTGATGGTGACATTGTCTTACTTCTTTTCACCATTTTGCCAGGTCTTGGTACCTGGTAAAACAATCATACATGTTAAGTTGTTTAGGCGACTGCATTAAATATACATTAAATATATTGAAACCACAAAAAAAACAAGAGTACAAGTCGCTAGCTAATGTTGTCCAAGTTGTATCGACAGCTATTAATCCAATTACGATTACTGGTAAACAACATATGAAGTTTTATGAATTGGGAAGTGGGATGAAGAATTTCAAAATGGGCAAATTTAGTATAAATGGTTGAGGACCACTGGCCTGTTTGGCATAGAGGTTTGAAACAGCTTGTAAAAATGTGAGCAGATATAGCTTCTCATGGAGTGCACTTTAAAATATTGTGGTGGTGTTTATCATGGAATTTCTTTCTCTCGGCTAGGATTAACTATTTCAAATTCTTGTTGCTTTGAGTCAAACGTGTTTTTGTTAGAATTTGACTTACTGTTGAGTATATTGTTTGTCTCCCTTCTGATTCTCCTCCATTAACCTTGATGATCGGGACCTCTCTGTTATTGTTCTTTTCTGGTGTTGAGGATGTTGAAGATCGCCTTGTTCTACCATTAGAATCTGGCGATGACTTTTTGTCATTTTTGCCACGTCTGTTTTTCCAGAAGCTTGACTAAAAGATTATTAATATTCAATATTATACCCTTCTAAAGTGTTCACAATGGATTTTTTTATTAGATACCTATAAGCAGTGATGGGATTCAAAATTTTTGTCAGCCGGTTCCTTACCAAAAGTTATATTTTTCAGGCGGTTCTATTACAAACAGAACATTGACAGTAACCAATAATGATAACCGGTTCGCTAATCTCATAAAATATCGTGATACGGTTCTATAGAACCGGTGCGAACCGACTGAATCTCACCACTGCCTATAAGCCATATTTTTCAACAAAATTGTCTGTTGAAGAAATAGTCATAGCCTGATGCTCGAATGTAAGTGCTTTAAAATATCTATAAAAATGCAAAAAAATCTTTCTTATGAAAAAACATTCTGCCAAACGCAAGTTACTGTTACTCCATTTGCTTTCATAGTAATTATCAAAGTTCATAAAATGGAATTCCACTCAAAATTTAGCATACTTATCTCTGAATGGGGCATTAGGTAAGCCAGCATTATTCATAATTTCCATATATTATTGAAAATGAATTTAAGCACATCGTTTAGCAATTGAGTACGGAATATATCCCATGAATATTAATAGGCAATTATTCTGCAGTTTACAGATGATAACCTATTTATTATTTATGATATTTGACACTTTGAAAATGAATTAATAGGAAATTTTGAATAAAATTTTTTTTTGTTTGCGTATCCAAAACAAGACTCTTGTGTAGCAAAGCTTTCGTTTTTATTAAATTATTATTTCAAATCCCATTCCAACCACCTCACCCATTGTGTAATAAATTGGGTATGCGATACCAAGCTGAAAAGATTTCGGTCCTTTCAAACTATAGTAATGCTTTACAGTGGCAGGGCTGCTTGTGCAGAGCCATGTTTGGGACAAAAGGTATATAAATATGTCTTATAAAAAATTATCGAATTTTTTTTTTTAGTTTTTATAGACTAAAATGTAAATAAAAAAAAGGGAATGTAATCTCCAGTATTTTCTTCTATTTTGAAACTCGGTAATTTAGATCTAATTCAACTCCCAATTTCCAATAATAGCAGCGTTGCGAGCTGAAAATATGATTAACCACTCAAAATTTTTACCTTGAAATTTGTCATTAAACTGACAGTTGAGAACGCTCTCTGTATTGTCATTGAATACATTCGGGATCTTTCTTTTGGCTCTTTAGTTGGACTTGAGTCTGTGTAGAAATAAAATACTTATTAGTTAGTAATTGGGTTTCTGTTAAACAAACTACTTATCCTAATGCACTGGTGGATCCGTAGGTGCTCCCGAAGTATTCGTACCAAGATGGCGCACAACCTTAACATAGTAAGGTACCAGGTTAGGGTTGTTCAGGTTGTGCGTCATCTTGGTACGAATACTTCCTGAGCGCCGATCCGTATGTTTATAATGTGAGGATCTTGTAGCAAGAATAAAAACGAGAATATCAGTCAGAGACCGAAGACTTATCGATCGAAAGTTAGGGGGTCCCCCATAACAGCGCTCTTACTCCATAGTGACACCTTGTGTCCCATCACTAATTAATTAATAACTCGCTAATTATACGACATAATTTGCCCAAAATCAATAGGCTTCTGGTACGACATATGATGAATGCACATGCAAAATGGAGCAGATTCAATCTCGCTTTCGTGAGATATCGCGTGCATCTAACAGGCAGAACAGAAAAACAAACAGACAGTCAAATACATCAACATAATTACCGATTAAAATCGATAAGTAATGACTATTTCACATGATTCAAGAGTATAATATATAATATACAGCTGACATGGGCAAACCACGGCCCGGGGGCCAAATCCGGCCCATTGGGTCCCTCTCTTTGGCCCGCCTGATGCTGCCACAACCAAACTAAAACCAAATTCCGATGTTTAAGCTAACAATTAGCTCAAGGAATTTGTTGAGATTGCAATTAAATTTAGTTCTAGCTCGAAGCTTATTGTTTTGAATTATTTCGATTGTAACACAGTAAATATTGTTCACCTGGCCCGCCAGTCTACATGGGCAAAATTTTTGGCCCCACTCCCCCCCCCCCCTGATATACAGGCATCCAATTTGGTAAATAAATGATATGAAAAAGAGATTAACTTACCATTTGAAGAATTCTTTTCCACTTCTCCTTGCACTTTGGTTTCCAGTGTAATTCCATCTGTTGCCTCATCTATCGTGTCTTTTTTTTCTGTTTGTTGAATTTCAGTTTCAGGTTCTTCTAGTATTGTCTGTACAAATAAAAAATAAAAAATTTTAGTTTTTAAGAAATATAACTTTAAATTTTTTGAGAGAAGGGTCATAGGTTTTCGCTCAGAAAGAATGGAAACCAAATAATGCACTATTCCGAATATATTAAAAAAATATTATTTTCAGTATGAGATATCAAAAAATATTCATATTTACAATTATTATTTTAGAAAATGTACAGAATAATATATTAGGTACTTTTTGGCCAGTATTGGTTTCGGCGTTTTCTCTCACCCTGAAGTGCAATTTTTTATATTTGCTTCAATTCGTGTGTGCCATTTTTTGTTTTGTTCTACAGTTTGTATTGACTATGCCAATTTTAAACACAAGGAAAAATAAACTCATGATTACTATTAATGAGAAAATACCAATTCTAATATCATAGTGTAATACAAAATATACAATTTATGGCATTTGCAATACTTATTCCTGTGAATTACTACATTTCAAGCCATATTGTCATTCATCATTCATTTAATGACATTTTCATGGTCTTTAGACCTATTTTCTTGGATTTATTTCTATATTTGGAAATTGACGTGAATTAAAGCATGATTTGTGCAATCCTTAATAATCATATAATGTAATTTCTTTAATAGATTAATCAATAATGCGCAGATCAATAGCTACGCTGTAGAAAAATTTGAATTAAAAATCTTGCAGAGATGGCCCAAACCAAATGATTCTCCCTTCTTATTTTAGAGTGTCAAATAAAAATGAAAGCAATTTGGAAAACTCAGGCAAAGGCAAAATAAAACTTATTACCCACCAGGGGGACTCACAGCTTTCGTTATTGCAGTACTTGTGCAATGCCGAAACAAAGAGATTTTCGAAATCTTCGAAAAATAGTAGTTATGTACATACCAATGGCTAAACATACCAGAGCCTTGTTTGAAGTTGAGTTGTGAGAACACTTCATAAAAATATGGGTACTCCTGTTGTGTGTGTATTATTTTAGTTCTATTACGAGTTTGGGGACTGTCTGTGTTAGCCAAGTGAATATCCGCCTGCCCATAGGTTTCAGTCCCTTTTCACAGCTTGATGTAAAGTAGGCGAACAAAATTAGTTTGCTCCCTATTGATACACATACTTCTGGAGCGCCAAAATATATATTGCAAATTATTCAGCTGGATCACCCAACTTACCCCATTTTCTATCGCTTCGAATTCAAATCTAAGTTGATCAAGTCTAGACCCAATATCCGCTCCAAATGAGCTAAAAAACAGATCCCTGTCTGCCTTCTCTTGGAAGACATCTCCCATGGTGGTGTTGTATCTGAAATATATTTTAAAGTTTATTAATCGTGTGAATATAAGGATTTAAAACAAAAAGACACCTTTCTCATGAAAATAACTTGATCAGTGCCCATTAGTTTAAAATAGGAACGCGCTCATAACACACTCAAAAAAGCTGGGGTCCCCAAATGCTTGAACATTTAGCAATACATAAGTATTAAAATGCAAGACCGGCCCATAACCATAACCATAACTCATGTTAACTGACTAACTGCACTCTAATGTAGAGCACGATGGTTAATATTATTTTTGTTTCAAATTTGATTTATTTATGACTGTATATACATTCTCGAAATAAATTAAAAATCGAAAATTCGAAATATTTATGATTGAGATTTATGTGAATATTAAAATTCAAAATGAAAAACACATATCCAACTAATTTAATATGAAAATTGCATTACTCAATTCTAAGTTTTTTATAAAAGCATATTTTTAAAACATCTCATGGAATAATACTTAATAATCAAAAATTTTGGAGTTTTAAATTAAAAAAATAAATGTTATTTTTATTCTAATATTACTAATTTTGCTCTGAACGAGACAATTTGCACAAAAAATTTCTTACCTTTTTGATCTTTCAATATTTAATATTGTTGATTGTGATTTTCCTTTATGAGGGTGACAATATATGTTTTATGATGTCACAATAACAATGTTAATAATACTTTAAACTATATGCACCAGGCTCTGAAAAGGCAAAAAAAGTTAGATTTAAGCCTCTCTCTTATGATCTTAGAATGTAGTGGGTTGCTTGGTTGTTGTAAGTATGCTTACTCTATTTGCCTGAAGTTAAATATATATTTCTTGAATCTCGAAATTTAATTTGTGATCCCCTTGTTCTTCTATAAAAATACATAATATTGATTTCGAGAGGTTTCTACGAGTTGTTTTGAGTGCCATGTTTGATAAAAGAAACGACCATCATATATAAGGGAATAAATGCATTCCAGTCCCAAGAATTAAACTAATTTCAGTCAATTTACCTATAATTAAAATAGTCATAGAGAATTATACCTCACAAGGTTCTTTTCTTGTGGCCACTAGAAAACCTACCGTACCTTATTTTTTTTTTGGGGGGGGGGGCTGAAAACTCAGTTTTAGATATCGAAACTCAGGTCTATACTCATTCAAAACATACTATTAAGTCATTTCCATTCGCAACAATCTATGATTGAAATAAAAATCTTATGGCACCTTTTATCCTATTTTATCTTCCCCTAATAAGAAAGCATTTAAAAAAAAAATTGTCAACCAAACATCAACTCCATGCTTTCGAAAACAAATAAATGGCTAACTAATTCTATACCCGACATGGTAACCGGATGAGAGGCCGTGGTTCACCATGAGATTAAATCTTCTTTCTGCTGGGATAAATATGTAAATCCTATCCTATCCTTTGACCTGTAATGCCAACATAATGGAGTTCAACTTTCTAACAACATACTATCAGATTTGGCATCAAAGATAGCACATGCTTATAAACTAAATCAATCAAGTCCATATGTCAGTGACGTCTCGAAACCTATATCTTTGTATAGTTTTATAAATTCCCACCAAATCAATACAAGTTATGTGATGTCATAATTATATTTTGGGAATTCCATTGACTGGTACTTTTTGGTAGGTCACATTATTATGATGTCATAAATCATTGCTATAACTAATTGGACTTTCCTGTTGTCTGCTACCTTGACATCTAATGACCTTTGTTTGTTTTACTAGCAAGTGTTTGTCTCTTAATAAGGCTCTATGTAGGCCAGTTGAGTGGAACTGCCTGAAGTTTTGCGTCAGTATTTACTAATTCTTTATAGTCTTGGTAGCTCGTGGCACATAAGATGTCGTTTATAACTTTGCTCAAAGATCAGTCTCCTTCATTTCTGAGTTAGTATATCATCCACAAATTCTCTTTCAGTACGGTTAGTATGCAACAGGACTCTTGTGAAAAATTCTTTATAAATTCCGCGCTTTTTAATACAGATCGACTCAAGACTGAAGCAGTTCATTTTTATACGATGATGAAAACTGCCCTGAGGTAGTGACATAACCGAAGCAAATTTTTAATTAATATTTGACTGTCTGAGGAAGTCTGATTATACTAAGCATGTGCCATTGTGCAGCAAGACTCCTAAAACTATATATTATACCATGCTGTTATAGTCTTGTATATCTATATTGTCCACAAATTCAATATAGCCGGACTCTTGGCTTATTTACTCTGGTCTATCTGTTTATCTATTAACACTGTCTAAGACATGCAAGCAACATTAATATATCGCTCAAATTATTACATTTGTGCTGTACTAACAATACTGATCTCTTGAGCAAAATTACCGGCGAACACCAAGATAACTAAAATTATTACATAATAAATATAGATAGTGGCGCTTCAAGTAAAAATACAGTAAAACCATCATAAGAAAGCTTGTCTGAAGAAGTCTGTTGTTGGTCATACAAAAGACACACACATATCTTACTCGTGTATATCTGTTTAGTGTTTACCCATTAACACTGTCTAAGACGTGCCAGCAATATAGCTGTATTGGCACACTAATCAATAATTAATTCATAATTGTCTGGTTCCATCCACATGATGACTCCTTATCAATATCATATTACATATTAATGCGTGATAACAACAATGCATACTAAATTGTAACAGCGGCGTTGTGAAGACTTTTCAGAGTGCGGTTCTGCTAGCTGAACTGTGGCATTTTCAAAAGTCTTGAAGGTCTGAAAATCTTTTCAAACAATTTTTTTGACATTCGGACCTAATCAGTCTTGACAGGGAATGTTGCTATTTGTTAATTATATGTCTGATAACCTTCAAATTCGAAAATAACCTGGACTACTTGACCTCATGGACTTTGGGAATAAAATGTCACAATGTCTCACGACCTGTCATGTAAGGTCAAGTTAAAGCCACATTGAACAAAGTGTTTTATTTGAAATATAAAGATGACAAAAACAAACTTGAAAATATTGAAATTATGTGGAAAAATCTTTCTTAAATAAATCTTTTTTTTTTTTTTGAAAAATGGCAGAATTTTGATTATTTAGTCTAAGTTCCCAAACTTTTTGTTCATGTGGTGGCGCCAATTTATCAGGGAAAAATCGCACAGAGCTTACTTGAAAAAAGCTGATTTGTCTATCTTGCGAAATATTTTAGACACCCTTTATAACTCCAATTCTATTACAACATGCAATCTAGTATTGATAAAGCAACATTAACGCTACTATGTTTTAAATCGTTATCAAATTTCCCATCTTTTTAACCCTCTCAACACCTTACCTTCTTTTTTTAACCCTTTCATTACCTCACCTTTCAATAGCTTATATAATAATCAACTTTTAACATACTTGATATTTTAAATATATAAGCATTTACATAGGGCTGGAATATCACAAACATTAAAGAACAATTACTTCACCCTTTTCTCATATTATTGTGTCCAAAACCATTTAAAATTCTATTTGAAGTATGTTTTTAAAGCATTCTCTCATTTTCCTTTTTTCCTTTTTACACTACTGCATTATAATGTCACAATTATTTATTGTTGTGTCACAATCACACTGTAATTATTTGCATTGTGATTAATAATTGTATCGATTTTAATGATAGGTCACTGTAGGTCATATTTCGCAATTTACGAGCTTTATTTAAATAAATAAAAACTGTAAAATTTAAAACAAATATTTAAAGCATACTAAATAAAGAAATTGAAATAAAATAAGATTTACTTTTATACTGGGAAGAGGAAAGCTTACAAAATGTTTAAGTAAAATAGCAAAACATAGTAATAACATAGTAATAAACTAATGTAATAATTTAGGTAATCCTAAGACAAGAGTCTTGCTGCACATTAGAGTAAATATATTTCTGCAATCATGGATACACCTAGGGGATCCTCAATACTCTTTGGAACCCATGTATTAGGGCAGGGGTTCCCAAACCAGGGGTCGCGACCCCAAATTGGGTCAGAGTGATTAGGAGGTAGGGTCGCAAACAGGTCATGGGGTCGCTGAAGTATGGTAAAGGATGGATGTACAAAACATTTAAGATTTGACAACCATGTTAAATTCCGCAGTTTGTACCATGGCTTACTGTAAAACAGGCCCATAGGCAGCGCTCTATGCTTATGTTATAGAAAATGTAGGTGCTTATCGTGACATCACTGTTCGGTTTTAGCTTATTTTACTTAATACCACCACATGACCAAACTCAAAAGTCCAGTGAAAAAAGCTCTGAAGTTTCATGAAAAATATATATATTGACCTGGGGTCGCACTGGACACTTGAAAGTTGTCTTTGGGGTCGTCCTGAAAAAAGCTTGGGAACCCCCTGTTTTAGGGTCTTCAACCAGACTCGCTAGATATTAAGGTCTAACCTGGCAACTTTGAATTTTCAGAACTTTTAACTTGATCTTTATAGTTTATTTTTTCTCATGTATAATAACATAATTAACATCTATAATTCGTTTAATTAATTAATTAATTTTGAAGTTAGGTATAAGGGGCAGCATTATCAGAAACTTGGCCCGGGCAGGAGACTAGTTTGACGCGGTCCTGCTCAATACAAGTCTGCATAAAAGATCACATACTTAACTGTCTATTTATATTTATAGCGAACAGCTCTGAAAATTTTGAAGCAATCTGCAATAACTGGGGATTCTAAGAGACAGGTTAGATTACTGGTGGTGATAGTAGGAAGCTAAGTTGGCTGAAAAAAATTCTTTTTCTCTGCTTGGGTTTTTTTCAGCTTTTGGCGCTTGGTGGTGGCCATTGGAGGTATATAGACTTGGTGTCTATATATGGAATCCAAATAGCATTCTAGGGGAGAGGACATTTAAAAGGCAATTGGGATTCTACATCTATTCCTAACCTGCTGTCAATACGGCAGTCAAAGAGCCCGATACAAACAGATTGAGACCTTATATCCATCCCTACTTCTAACTTGCTGTCTATATGGCAGACCAAAAGCCCTCTATGGAGATGGGCCCTCTATGGAGCACTCTCTGAGATGGGCATTCAAATGACGATTGGGGGGTGCTCCCGAAGTATGCGAACCAAGATGTCAGACATCGGAACGTAACATGGGTAACAGGTTAGGGTTAGGCCATAATATTTTTCCAATTTTCCTTATTTTAGTCCTATTATCAGTTCGAAGACTAGCCAAGAGCCTCCCGTAGTATTTATACCTAAAATTATGGCCTAACCCTAACCTAGTACACATATTACATTCCGATGTCCACCATCTTGGTTCCCATACTTCGGGAGCCCCGATAGGGGTTATATCTTTTCCCAACTTCTGTCCTTTTCAAGAAAACCTTGAGTATGACTGTATGTATCCATTCAATTCAACCAATTGATGTTATAGATTGAACAGAGTGTTATGTTAAAGGCTTTAGGGCAACAGTTCCCAACTGGGCGCTCCAAGAGGGCCACAGAGCAGTAGGATGAGGCCACAATGCTGTTCGCAACTTTTTTACTTTTCATTTAACTTTTTCTGATTTTACTCTCCAGTTTACAAAAAAAATCTCTCTCTTGCTAGTTTCATTGCTTGATTAGATTATTTCACAGGGTGTTTACACTTTGTTGAGCATGACTTGTTTGAACATGATAAACTAGCTATAAAGGGTTGGAAACTTGCTTTATGGTGTTGGTGGCTAATTTCTATGCTTTCCCTATACC